TGGTTTTGGTTTTTCTCCGGTACCGGGAACCAAACTCACGACCTTGCGCTTGCCAGGCAGGCACTTTGCCGCTGAGCTAAATCCCCAGCCCCAAGGTACAGAATTTAAAGGACTCAGGAAGAGGATGGAGATTAAATTAGGTACTCAAGAAGGTGAGTATGGGGTTGTGACAAAACTGAGGTGGTTAGGGAAGATCAGCTCTAGAGAAGCCCTTACTTGGGGATGGGTGAGAAGATGCTGAGGCCGGCTCGAAACTTCTTGATGGTACCACTTGCCTTGAACCAACTGTGCCGCTTCTCCTGCTGGGTCTTCAGGAAATCGTTGCTTAGGTGTTTCCATTGTTGGGATGTGAACATACCCAGGATCCTGAGGGATCACACAAAACAGGCATAGGCACAATCAGGCAGAGGAGGGGGCCAAGAAATAGGGACTAAGAGAAGCAACTAACCTAAAACTCAGACCCAACAACAGCAAAGCTAATTGCAGTGGGGGAATGTATGTCTGAAGACTTCCTTGGCAAGACCTGGTCACAGGGAAATGGACTATCCTGAAGCAACTTTTATACCACAGGAAAGAAACACATACTGCTGTTACCTCACCAACAACCTGAACAATCTGAGATACTTTGCCCTTCGAGGAAGATCTCACAGTTAGGGTTTATAAGCTGTGGACTCTGACACAGTAAGCCTCCGCCTTCCAAATACTGGAGGTGAGAGCTTTCACAGGTGTACTGTGTAAGACTCACTTTGTCAGCTCACGAACGAATCCAACTTCTGAACAGTTCTCCTGGAACAGAACTCATTCATAAGCCAGGGATTTACTGTATTTACTGTGAGGGATGACTATACTTAGAGAACAGAGGTGGTGGGATCAAGATGAGTATTACATGCTGCTTTGTGACTAAAGAAGAAAAGGACATGCCCAATACTGACATTATTGGGAGAAAAATTACATTCCTCAATTTATGGCTCCTAACTCCCAGTCAGACTCACCTATCCTTTCCCCTGTCCTTGATCAGTTCAATCATTATTCTATGCTGTTCATCTAAACCCTTATCAACTTCTTCAAGTTGATTTCACCTTGACACTTTTGGAAGGAAACACTCCATCCAAGGTTCAGTCTGTCCATCCACATGTCCTGCTATAGCCTGGGTCCTGAACATCCCCCAAAGGCCCATGTGTGAGGGCCTGGTCCCCACCTGCAGGGCTACTGGGAGGGAGGTCAAAGTACCTTTGGGGGTGGCTTAGTGTGAGGAAGCCACATCACTAGGGGTGTGGCCCTGAAGGGGACCCCAGCCTCTCCTTTCTTTTTTTTGCTTCCCAGGAGCTTCAAAATGAAGAGACTCCCTCCACCACATGCTGTTGCCATGTCAGTGCTGCCACAGCACAAACGACAGGACCACGTGACCATAAACTAAAACCTTTGAGATTGTAAGCGACAAAGACCTTTCAAGTATTTTGTACTGTAATAGAAAGCTGACTAACACATGCAACCATCTCTCTTTCCCTCACAGGTCCAAGACCCGAAAAATCAAAGTTCTTACTTTTTCAACTGAAGACCCAGCCCAAACCCTTCCTTATTCGATGGCTGGAAAACCTCAATTGATGGTTCTGCAAAGAAAAGAGAAAATTCTTTGTATGGACACATCTCTACCCTCCTGGGAGTCCAAAACCATGGTCCACTGGAATCACTTCCTTAGATTCTTAAAACAGTATCAGCTGGACACTCTGAACAATAATGGTAGTGGGGGAGATCTTCTGAGGCAGAGGTAGATTCTGAAATCCGTCTAATCAATTTCAAATATCCTCAATAGGAAGCTGGGGAGAAGGGGTGTAACTGACTTATTTTGGAAACAGGAAAACAATTTCATTAACCAAGAAGGCCTTTAGGGAATGACTTTGGGTAAGTGAAGATAAAAACACTGACAGGAAACTGAAAGCAATTCCACCAACAGCCTGTAGGTTGAGACCCAGGCCCTCACTTCTACTTTTCTTTTATCTTTTTCTTTTTTTTCAATGCCGGGAATCAAACTCACAACCTCACACTTGTCAGGCAGGCACTGTGCCGCCTGACCCCTCCTACTTTCCTTTACTTCGATTGCTTAAGACCATGCTCAAGAGTACTCGTTTGCCTGAAGTTACTGCTTTTACCTGGTCCATCAAGGTACTGGGAGAGAGAAAATCTCAGCCTCAACACAATAGGTTCTGTCCGGAGGACCTTCCAGGCCGTAGACACTTCCTCCTAAAAGAATGAAGAAAACAGTTTCCAGAAACTCTTCCAGAAGGAAGAACAGACTTGAAGTTTCCCCTCTATGACACACACATGCATGTGACAGTACACACCACTGTCTGCTGATAGTCTAGGAAAGACAGAGATGAAGACTATGTGCTCCAAATACAGTACTCAGGAAAAAGACTCCTGGCCTACATGACAAAATCCACAAGTCCAGACAGACATGTTGGCAGGTACTAGCACCACTTACATCGAGGAAGCTGATGTTGATGTGGAGGTCAATGTCCACGTCATCGATAGTTCCATATTCTCTGCAGAGATACAGGCCACACAGGTGAGTCTCAGTATGGGAGAAAGGAGGGCACAGAGACTAAGGCAGAGGGAGAACTGAGCCTGGGGACGGGGAAAGGGAAGAGTGGAAGGCCGTTCTGTATTTAGGTTCTTCTTAGTTACATAGCCTAAGCCACTGATGATCAGGGCCCCCTTGGGGCAGAAGTCCTTCCTACCCTGAAGATGAAATTGTTAGCATACAGGGGTTTAGGATAAGGGGCAACTTCTACCATTCCAAGCAACTTCTATCATTAACCTCATCGTTTATCTCCCAACACCCCATAAAAAGAAAAAACCTCTAGCACTTTAATAACGCAGAAAGAAGAGGCTGCTCCCCTGCTGTCCCTGGAGCGGAGCCCCACCTGATGGACACAGAGTTCTCACTGTAGATCTCCTTCACGGCTTCAATGTCTGCATCAAGCTGTGGGTGTCGGTACAGATCAGCTGCACAGCTCCCCTGACAGAGCAGAAAAAATGGTGGTGGTAAGAGGAGGGAAAAGAGACAAAAGGGAAAAATAAAAAGAACAAGCATCAAAAGGAAAAGAACACAAACAGAGGCACACAAGTGAAAGCCACTCTATGAGGGGCTCCAGCTAGGGAGTTCATCTGCAAGTCTCCCTCCCTCACCACACGAGGAGCTTCTGCAGACCAAACACAGGTCCTGCTTGAGGTCATATCCTCAAATTTCCAGCGTCTCCTCTCACACCCTGACCTATGAAAACTTAGAACAGGCTGAAGAGTACAGAGTTTAACTCCTATTGGTTCTATCTGAAAAGCATCCTAGGAGTCAAAGTCTTTCTACTCAGGATTGTGTCCTGTATAGCAATGATAGCAGGCAATCCCAAGGACAGGACAGTTAACCGCAATGAATTGAAATGACCCTCACTGACTAGTGAGAGAAGTCAGAAAATAATTATTTCTGACTAAGAATGTACCTGTATCCTTCATGTACAGAACACCTACTTTATTCTGGACCAGGGATGAGTCCCAGGCAGGACCAAGGACATGGGATCAACTCCAAAAAGACAGCCATCAAATCACACCATTACATCCTCATCTTATCTCTGCTTCAGGACAGCTTCTTTTACATCTTTCTGATCGACCCCCACAGTGCAATCTGGAGTACCCAACATCTGAGTCTTAAGGAATGAGCCTCACCTGAACTCCATATAGAAATTCCTCTGATTCATTATCTCCTTCTGAATCATCATCATTCCAGAACTGGCCTTTGATGTCCTGGTGATGAGAAATAAGACCCTGTTACTCCACAAAGCAGGGCCGAGTCAGAGGATGGGAGACTGGCTGGGTCCCACAAAGAATGGAAAAAGGTCCCTTAGGGTAGAGTAACCCAGGCCTTACACCTTGGTACCTTTCCCCTCACTTTCCCAAGGCCTTACTCTGACTGGGCAGGACAGGAAAACAATAGGAATTTTGGACTTAAGTTTCAGTACAACGGCAAAGGCTCTGGTAGCCAGTGGGGGACAGGTACAAATGCCAAGGTTGATTCGTAAGTCTACCTGGATTCTAGTGTACGCTGGCCTCTTCCAGGGTCACTACCCATGGCAACTCCAGGCATGCCTAAGTTCTTTTGTCTCTTTGCTCCTTTTCTGTTCCTTAAAGAAGGGGTCTCCAAACCCCTGGGCCACAGACTAATACAGGTCCGTGGACTATTAGGAGCCGGACTGCACGGCAGGGGATGAATGAAAGCCAGCAAGCAAAATTCTACCGTATTCAGAGCTGCTCTCTGTTGCTTACATTAGTGCCTGAGCTCCACCTCCTGTCAGATTAGCAGCAGCGGATTCTCGTAGGAGCACAAACCCTATTATGAACCCCACGTGTGAAGCATCTAGGTTGTATACGCCTTTGAATCACTCCTAAACCAGCCCCCACCCCTAATCCATGGAAAAATTATCTTCCACAAAACCAGTTCCTGGTACCAAAAACATTGGGGACTGCTGCCTCAAAGTATTTAACCCTTCCCTTCCTTCCCAAGAAAACCCACCTACACACGCACACACGCCAAGTAACAGTGTTACTGAGCCCCTTCTCCTTCCAGTAGCCATTCCACCTCCCAAAGGGGCAAGAGAGCAAAGACCAGGAGGTGTGAGGCCTGCGCTGTGCCTCATCTACCCCCTGGAGAATGAGCTGGGGTGGCGGGCAGTGGGCTCTCACCATTGGGTCAGTGGGTCACACACACTCCCAGAGCAGTGCTAGGCAGCACCCCTCCATACCACTAGCTGAACCCAGGCCAGCGAGATGGGCATTTAGGAGGCCACAAAGGGAGACAAGGCGGGGTGACGTCAGGAGCAACTGAAGATCTGCTGGGGACGGCAGGCTGTGCTGTGGTGGTGGTAGCAAGTCGCTGTTCTGTGGAAAGTAGGAATCTGGTTTCATTACCACACATAGCTGGGTGGTGTACACATCAGCACACTTTTATTATGCATATATTCGACACTTGCATGCATACACACACTTTTAAATAAAATTCTTTAAAGATAAAGAATCAGCTGGGTGTGGTGGCCCACACCCAAAATCCCACGCACTCAAGGGGATCACTGTGAGTTCACGGCCAGCCTGGGCTGCAAAGCGAGTTCAAGGCCAGCCTGAACTGCACAGTGAAACCCTGTCTCAAAAAGACAAAAAACCCAGGGATGTAGCCCAGAGGCACAGCGCCTGCCCAGCAAGCGTGAGGTCATGAGTTCGATTCCTGGTACCAAAAAAACCCCAAAAACAAAAGCAAAAAAATAAAATATAAAGATAAAGAACCATGAAAGCACTATACAAATATAAGATGTTAACACCCCATTCAAACTGTAGGATGACCAGAATGTAGAGGTGACCAGAATGTAGTCTAGAATGTAGAAACACTAGAATGTAGAGTTGGAGGGCTGGGATGTAGCTTAGAGGGAGAGCACTTGCCTAGCACATGGTGAAGCCCTGGATTCAATTCCTAGTGTGGCAAAAGCAACAAAAAACAAAAACAAGGGCCAGGGATATGGCTCAGTGGCACAGTGCCTGCCTGGCAAGCACGAGGTCCTGAGTTTGATGCCCAGTACCAAAAAAAAAAAAAAAAACCAGAAACAAAACAGAACAAAACCAAAACCTGGGGAATCAGGGCTGGAGCAAGTCCCTGCTCTATCTCATAATGCTGGAAGCACCCCAGAGCTGAAAGTGATATTAGCAGGCCAAATGCTTATGCTAAGTGCTCTCACCAGTTCATTCTGGAACACTCTTCATTGTACCAATCTGCACAAGTTAAGAACCAGAACCAGTCCCTTTCTGGACTCTACTCCTAGTTATTCCTCAATATTGGTTCATTATCTCTTTTAAAAACATCAACATTATTAGAAGCCACTATACAAGAATCACATCTAGGGCCGAGGACATAGCTCAGTGATACAAGCACCTCCCTGGCAAGTACAAGGTCTTGAGTTTGACTCTGGTACAAAAAAAAAAAAAAAAAAAAATCACATGTAACTTACAAAGTCCTCAACAACACTGAATATCCTCTGGTAAATGTGTTCTGAGTTGTCACAGACAAAATAATGCCCTGTAGTATGTTAGAACCCACTCTCCAAATAAAAATACAATCATAATCCCAACAAATGTGTAGAAAAACACTACCCTGGCCCCTCCCCTTGCTTGCTTCCAACCCTGAAGACCCACAGTCTTACACCAGGCAATTGTTAGCCCCACACTACCCGCCACACGGAGCTTGGGGAAAAACAACATTTACCTGTCAAACTATAAAGGCTGTCACGATCAGGGAAGGTTAAAAGTGCTTTGTGGTGGTCTCTAAATCAGCAGTTCACCAGCATGGCATGTGGTACTATGAGGACCTCAAGAGCTTTTACCATGTGCCAGTGCACAGCCCCACCTCATAGCCAAACAGTGCGATTTCATGGGAATAGATCCTATGTATCCAGTTCATTAAAAGCTCTGCAGTGATTTCCTGTGATGGCAAAATTAAGAACCAGTGTTCAAGGAATTCTTGGGTCTGCATATGTATTCCCAGTCTAACCTACTCCAAGCTCAAGTAGAGGTGATCTTGGTCTGTCACATGGTTTTTCTGAATCTCAGTTTTCCAGATAAGTGGTTCTGAGTGGGACTGGTGGGTCTGCAGCATCAATATCCCCTAGAAACTTGTAAAAGGTACTAGTTCCCAAGCCCCCTCCAAGACATAGTGAAGAAACTCCAAGCTGGAGCCCAGTAATCAGTGTTTTCAAACACATTATTCTGATGCATGATAAAATTTAAGAAACTTGCCAGGCATAGTAGCGCACGCCTGTAAATCTAGCATTCAAATGGGAAGCTGAGGCAAAAGGATTGTCATGAATTTGAGGCATTGGGCTATACACAATGAGACCCTGTTTCAAGAAAAAAAAAAACACTATATATATAGGCTGGGGATATAGCTTAGTAGCACAGTGCTAGTCTGGCAAGTGCAAGGTCCTGAGTTTGATTCCCAGTACCAAAAAAAAAAAAAAAAAAAATATATATATATATATATATATATATATATATATGTAAGATACATGAATAAATAATTTAAGAACCATTCTTCTAGATCATACATGTGCCAGTGGGCTGTGTACCTTCCACAGGTACTGACATAAGCCTGGTAACTGATCCAGCATAGGGCTGTAAGTCAAAATTTTGGAGCAAACCGCATAGCTGTCCTTCAGTTGATTTTGTTAACTGACCCATCAAAAACGGTATGTAAAAGTAATCCGGAACTGGTGAGGGGCCAGGCGTGATGGGACATACCTGTAATCCCAGCACTCAGGAGGCTGAGGCAAGAGGATCTGTAAGTTCAAGGCCAGCCTAGGCAAGACTGGACTATATATACATTGAGACTTTGCCTCAAAAAAAAAAAGTAAACCACTACTTAAGTTCTTAAAAATGAAATGACCTAATATTTGACTTTGCCTTAAAACACTTCAGCTCCCCCTCCCTGCAAAAAAGGAAATGGGAAAATACATGAAATATATTTGGAAAATGGCAATCACTGATGAGGTGATGTGTACATAACGGTTTTTCACACTTCCTCTTTTTTGTGCATAGTTGTACAACTTCATGATTAAAAAAAAAGCTCATCATAGTGGCACATGCCTATAATCTCTGCTCCTCAGGAGCCCAAGGCAGGAACACTGCAAGTCTGAGGTCAGTCTGGGCAACTCAGGGAGATCAATAATGATAACAGGGCTGGGGATGTAGCTCAGTGACGGAGAAAGAGCATGCACAAAGTCCTGGGTTCTTTCAGGCCACTGGTCAGATGCTCTCTCTAAAAGGTCAACTCTTAATGTTAACAGGAAGACTGCCCAAGACTCCACAATTGCTTCCCTGCTACTCTTGCAATGCAGTATATTTCCATCACAGAACTCTGTCCCCACTGTTCTCTCTTCTTGGAATGCTTTTCACACAGGGATCCACACTCTGCTCAAAGGTCACCTTGACCATCCTATGTAAAATAGCAACTCCCCAACACACACATACCAGCACACTATCCCCTCCCCAGAGTTACCTCTCCCCACAGCACTCAGCAGGTTTATCTCCCATCTGAATGCTAGCTCATAGCTCAGGCTTTGACTTTTCTCTCTGCTCAGTCCCCTAACACATTTATTGAATGAGTGAAGGACACTCCACTGTCTACCTAAGCCAAACGGGAGATGCATACAAGAACCTAAATACTTTTACACATAGACAAAATCATGCCATGATGATTTTAAAAACCAATTATTTCATTCACCTCAAGAATAGCTGAGAACCAGAATATGAAGATCTGGGGGGGTGAGCGTGTGAGACTTGAAAATAAACAGTCAAGCGTTGATCCGGAAAATCACAGGAATAAAGAGGGAAGCACTAATGTCCAGCCTGGGTTGTCTTGGTGTGAGTGGTAGGACGACAGCAGCGCAGGCCGGAAGTACCAACTTTTTCAAAGTCTTTGTCACTGTTGACTTCTGTCAAGAAAAACTTAGCGTCTCTCCAAGGGCTGTTGCTGCTTGGTTTCTGCTGCTATACAAGGAGAAAAAAGTAGTTCAGAAGGAGTTCTTCTGTCCAGGGAAGAGACAGTTCAGAGATTACCAGCTTTGGCAAACCAGGCTGCCCCCACTACTCTCAACGCCCTTTCCTTGGAGAGATGGAGAAGGGGTTTAAGAAGATGAGGGGGGCAGCGTTTTAGCTCAGCAATACAGCACCTGCCTAGCAAGCCTGAGGTCCTGAGTTCAATTCTCGATCCCTCCTCAAAAAAAAAAGACAGGCGGTGGGTCATGAGATTCACAGAACCAGACATCTCTAAAAAGAGTAAGGGTGAAAGACGAGCCCGCTCAAAACTTTCATGTTACACAGAGAATCTTCAGGCCTGGGGAGATCCCGAAGCTTAAGGATAGGAATATAACGGACCAAGAACACTTGACAGGACCTAATCACATCCAATCTTCATATGATGCCGTCTTAACTAAGGGATTGTGAATGAATTAAGCAAGAAAGGCCTATCTGATTTATGAACATGAGGTAAAGAAAAGAACTTCGCAAGAGAAATTAAGCAAAATATACACTACATGAAGAGTGCCCCGAGAAGGGTGCTGTTAAACTCAGTGTTTGTTCTGGGTAACTGCAAGTAACACAGAATGCTTTCCCTTTTTCCATGGGAATAGGCCAAATGTACTTAAGCCTCGAGTCTGGGTCACAAAGATCTTCATCTGCAGGTCCAAGGGCGCTTCTGGGTGTGACAAGTTTACACCGACTCACAGAAGCCTCGGATCTCACCGTTTGAAGTCTAGGCCTGACTCCCAACTTTGCGGCCCGGGGAGAAGGAACAACTTGGCTCCATACCGAGTGCCCCCGTGCCCGAAGGACTAGGACTACACAAAAGGGGAAGAGCCAGCCACGGGGGACTCCCGCGGGCCGCCGCTGTCCCCCGTACCCCGCAGACACAGAGATCAGGGCTTGTCCTGCGAACACTCTGCCTGCCACCCGCGCCTGCGGGGGCCCCGAGGCATCCCTTAGGGAAGCACTTATAGCTCTTGGGGTTTCCTCCCGAGACCCCCAAAGACACTCAACATCTGCCTCCCCCGGGAAGCAGCTCTGTGCACGATCTAAGCTACCAGCGCCCGGCCCGCGCGAAGCCGGGAAACCCCTCACAGCGCCGCGTCCAAGCCCCTCACTTCATCCCCCTCGGCCGAAGCGGGGCGCACTCTGCACCCCACCCGCGTCCAGAACGCCCCGCCCTGTACCCCATGGCGGCAGCACCACAGGTCACCCCCGCGAGTACTCACGGCGACCCCGGGCCGCGCTCGGCCGCCGCACGGGGGACTAGCGGCCCGGGACGCCCCGCGGGGGCGGAGCGGCAGGCCAAGGGGCGGGGGCCGGGCCGGGCGGGGGAGGTCGCGCACCCCACGCCTCGTCTTTCCGTCACGGGCGCGCTGGGCCACTCTGCGCACGCTCGCGCGGCGCCGCCGGGGACACGTGCCCCTCTCCGAACCAATCGCCGCTCAGCCAGCGCTTGGACACGCCTCCAAGCGAGACCCCAGCCCTGGGGCGCCTGCGCACTGGTCGTTAGGAGGGAGTGCGGAGCGAGGGGTGGCGCCTGCGCCGTGGATAGGAGAAGGCGAGTGTAGAAAGAAGAGGGGCTCTGGGGCCGGCGGAGGGCTCTCGGAAGGAGAAAGTTTGCGTTTGGCGTCTCCTCTGGTTGGGAGGACTGCACCGGGGCGATGCTCCTGGTGCTCTGTGTGTAGACTGGAAGGAATCCCTTATGGGCGCTTTCCAAACCCCAGTAAACTCTGAAATCTGGTCTTTTAATTCTTATGTTTAACTCCTTTGTTCTCTTGGTAACTTTTGAAGTGCCGGAAAGCCACCTGGCCTTCTAAGCAAACAATGTAAGTACCAGGCTTGGTTGTAGCACTTCCTGATCGTGCGTCCTTACAAGAAGACCTTTCACTTTCTGAGTCTTGATTCTCTCTTCTTCGAGATAGAGACAGTGACACCTATTTAATAGGGCTCTTTTGGCCAGGGTGAAGTTCGATGACGCCTAACTTCATGAAGTTGTCAGTTTTGTAGTTTATAAACAAAGACGTGTAATTTCATAGGATTAAAACTAAAAGTTTAAAGTAACCAAGCAGAGCGCCTGGACGAGGAGGTACAAATGGTCCAATTTACAAGGTTTGACTTAACGATCTTAACTTAATGATGGCTCAAAAGCCATAACCAAAAAAAAAAAAATCCATAACGATGGTTTGAACTGTGAACTTTTCCTGGGCTATAGTGATATATACTGGGTAGCAGAGCCAAAGCAACCCAATCAGCCATATAGTGTCCCTACACAAGTGTCTCTTTCTCACCCAGTATCCAGGCTCTTTGTATCTGGAACATTAAATTGATCAAGATACACAGAAATAGTAAGAATAGCAGAGATTTATTAAAAGGAAAGTACCCTCCACAGAGCAGAAGTGGGCTGATGCTAAAGCTCAAGAATAAGTTTAACTTAGAGCAGTTTTAGATTCAAGGCTAAAATAGACTTGGGATCCTGGGCATGGTAGCGAACACCTGTAATCCCAGCCCTCGGGAGGCTGAGGCAGGAAGATTGCAGGAGTTCGAGGCCAGCCTGGGCTACATAGTTAGGTCAGCCTGAACTACATAACTAGACCCTGTCTCAAAAATTTTAAATGAAATAAAATATACTTGGAAACCGGGCGTGGTGGCACACGCCTGTAATCCCAGCACTCGGGAGGCTGAGGCAGGAGTATCACTGTGAGTTCCAGACCAGCCTGGGCTACAAAATGAGCTCAACGGGGCTGGGGATTTAGCTCAGCGGCAAAGCGCCTGCCTGGCAAGTGCAAGGTCGTGAGTTCGGTTCCCGGTACCGGAGAAAAACCAAAAAAACAAAACAAAACAAACAAACAAACAAAAAATGAGCTCATGGCCAGCCTGAACTGCACAACGAGACCCTGTCTCAAAAAGACCAATAAATAAATAAATAAATAAAATAAATTAAATAAAATACACTTGGGAGAATTCCAGGCAGGCAGAATTAGGTCCAGGCATTTCTTTTATTTTCCTAGGAGGTGGGAGTTGCCAGGGGTGGTAACTAACTAGGCTCTGTCCAATTAACTGAGAGTCTTCCACCCTCAGGTCTGGAGGGGACTTTCTGACTTTATATGCCCAGAAGAGCAGAGACCCAGATGAATCGGGCAAAAAACCCAGTGCTAGTGATATTGTAGTAACTGGAGTCACTCTGGGTTACTCTAAAGCGGTTACAGTGCCTGCTCCTCCGGCTCGTGGCAGAGGGCAAGGAAATGTGGTAAGGCAGGAGCAGTCTTTAGGCTCATGTCAGGATTCTGAGGAAATATAGTGAGGGCAGGACACCCCTTGTTTCTTAGAATGAAAGAAGACTTCGAGGAACTAAAAATGTTTGAAATAATCCAGGCATAGCTTCTGTGTATGTCAGGATGGGTAGAGGGCATAAAGCGAAGCGTGAGGGGTTCTCACACCCTCCACTTGACCTCAGACTGTGTGCTGGAACCCTGAGGCACAGGGAGCTCTTCCTTCCTCCCTTCCTCCCTCCTCCTTCCTTCCTTCCTTCCTTCCTTCCTTCCTTCCTTCCTTTCTTCCTTCCTTCCTGTGTATAGCACTGGGGATTGAACTTGGTGCCTTCATACCTTCACAATGAGCTATGTCACCAGCCTGTTTCTCTCTTTTTTTTATTTCACTCCGTGATTTCTTTATTTCTTTATTTTGAGACAGGGTCTTGCTACATAGTTTTGGCTGGCTTTGAACTCACTATAGAGCCTGAGCTGGCCTCCAACTCATGGTGGTCCTCCTGCCTCAGCCTCCCGAGTTCTGGAATGACAGGTGTGTGCCACTACACCCGACTCCGTTTCTTTTTTTTATTTTGAAGCAGAGTCTCACTGAGTTGATCAGGCTCTACACTGTTAGGTTTCCAGTGCAGAAAAGAACCAAACAAAGAAAAGAAAGAAGGCCTTTACTCTGGACATAGAGAGGACAGGGCAGCATGCCATACCTGACTCCTCTGGGGCTAGACAGGGAGCCGGCAAGGAGTAGTATAGACTCTGGCTAGGGGCGGAGTTAGGGGGCGGGCTTAGTGACGTTCAGGAGCTGATTGGTGGTTTCTTCGTGTGCGCGGGAAAGGCAAGAGGAAGTTGTACTCCTGGCTGAGGGAAGGAGAAAAGAGGGGAGGGTGGTCATTGGGAAGATAAACTGTTGATTTGGCCTTCAGCCATGTTAGACCACCACCACTATAATTCAGCAGCTCATACCCAGGCAGGAACCTATTCCATGCAAACCTACAATTCTCCTGCAGGGGCTGGGGATTTAGCTCAGCAGCACAGCGCCTGCCTGGCAAGCGCAAGGTCGTGAGTTCGATTCCCGATACTGGAAAAAGAAAATTCTCCTGCATCAGCTTCCCATGGCGCTGTGGTTATTGGCGGGTGCCACCATAACCGGCTTCCATTCTTCTTAGGATCGTAGTAGCCACATGGTGACAAGATGAGAAGCAAGAGGAGCACGTACTGGGCATGCTGGCGAAGACAGCAGGTTGCGCATGCGTGATCATCCTGACCAGCATCTTAAATTTGATCTCGTATTTCACCTTAATCCAGTCCCTCTTTTATATTCCTGTCCTCACCAACACTGTGCACTAGCTTCCTAATGCTGGTATCTACTCATCTATTCGACACTTACTGAGGATCTTCTTAAAACTCAAGTCTGATCATGTCACTCTTCTGTTGAAACTCTTCAGTGAGCCGGGTATGGTGGCGCACGTCTGTAATCCCAGGACTTGGGAGGCTGAGGCAGGAGGATCGTTGCGAGTTCGAGACCAGCCTGGGCTACAAAGTGAGCTGAAGGGCAGCCTGAACTGCATAGCGAGACCCTGTCTCAAAAAATAAAATAAAAGAAACTCTTCAATGGCTCCCTGCTGCCTCTAGCATAAAATGTATCCCTTTTCTACCCGTCTGGCCCCGCCTTCACTCTCGTTACCCCTCGCATGCATCCTATATTCCAGCCAGGCCACATTCCACATTCTTTGATTATCTGTCTGTTATTCTGAGACAAGGTCTAAGTTTCTGGGCTGGCTCCAAACTTGTGATGCTCCTGCCCAGCCTCCTAAGTAGGTAGAATTACAGGTATGGGCCACTGCGCCTGCCTCCAAGTTCCACATTGTCACAAGTCAAGCAGAGCATGTCTTCACAAGTCATAAGGAGTTGTGGAGCCGACAGATATAATGCCCCCTCTGTTTCTGCGCCCTCCTGCCCCATGGAGATGGTTGCTTGGTCTACCACAAAGGATGATGTCATCCTGGCCAAAGTGATTGGTTCAGGAACCAGGCTGCGAGCTGAGGCAAGCCAATCACAATATTCTTCCTCAAAGCCAGCCTGCTTTCTAAGGAACTTGGGTTTAAACGCAGATGTGATTCAAGTTCTTGTCTCAGCACTGAGTGCTAACAGTGTGGGGACCGAAACATCTGAGGACACGACGGGCTCTTCTTACTCAACAGCAGGGAATCTGGCCCAGACTGCTGGCTTTCTCTCAGGCCCCCGGGCAAGGTCACTAAGTTGGGCCATTTCTGGGCTACTTCTCAGAAGCTGAGGCTCACTCTAAAGTTCTCTTTGTGGTCCCCTGAATTTCCTACTGGCACCTAAGCCATCCCTTGGAAAAGCCCAGACCTAGCCGGCCTTCTAGGTCTCTCTGCCCTTACACAGCCAGTGGCAGGAGGCCAGAGGCTGGGCAGATGGCAGCCAAAGGCTTTGGTCATTCCAGGCTGCTACAGTGGAGGACACTGTCCTAGCCGTGTCTGAACAAGAGAAGGAACGGTCCTTTGTTCTTTCTGAGTTGTCACTTGGCAGAGACTGGGTTCCCTCTTTCTAGATCCCACTTGGCTCAGCCCCTTGGGGCCGCATGCTGGAAGGGCAGACCAGAGCCGGGCTGCAGGCTGGAAGACAGCTGTGTGGCCTGAACTGGCTCTGAGTCCCAAGGGATTTCCTTCTTCCTGGCTTTCCTAACTAAAGCACACTCAGCTCTGTGACATAATATATAAATACGGTGGCCATGGAGGGCCCAGAGACGGCAGATGGCCTCAGTCCCTGTTGGTTTGGGCTGTGCTACGGCAGAGGCCAGAAGTTAGGTGAGCAGAGGCCC